TCCTAGAATCCAGAAGGTTTCACTAGATACTGCAATACTATCAAAGTTTTCACCCATTGTAGAGAACCAACAACAATAAAATGCTAAACAATGGCTGTAATTACAATGTGTGACAACATTAACTGCACTGCCACCTACTGGATGGAATGATACAGACTTCTAAGTGTAATTTCTGGAATAAATAACAGCTGATGTAAAATTTTTGGTTGACTTTACTGTTTTTAATTTCTTAAAATATTTCGCTATTAATAATTTTAAAATGAATTTTATTGCTTTTGTAAATTTTATTTTTATGTTACATAAAATCATAAATATTGTACATGTTATGCAGTGCTATGTGATGTTCAATAATTATGTATATTGACTCTAGCTAAAACCAGATTACACATATTTGTCTCTGAAACATTTATCATTTCTTTACCATGGATGCTCTTAAATCTATTCTTCCAGCTTTTGAAACGCACAAGATATCACTGTTATTACAGTCACTGTATAATCACTGTACTGTGAGGTGACACCCCAAAATTTATTGTTCATATCCAGCTTCAGATTATTAGATATTAATAAATATTTTCCCAAGTCCCCCAGTCCCATTTTACCCTCCTTCAGTAGCCATAATTCTTTCATCTTCAATGAGATCAAATTTCTGATTGTAGATATCAGTGAGAATGCCGAGTTACTTCCCTTAACATATGTTCTCCAGTTCTGTTCATGTTGTCAGATAAAATGGAATTTCATCCTTATAGCTTAATATATTTCTTGTTCATTAAAGGACATTTAAAATTTTGTATTTCGTGGAGACCAGGAATAAGGCTGTAATGATCACTGAAGTACAGATTATCTTTTCCCACCTGATTTCACTTTCTTTAGTTATATACCTTAGTTGGAATTTCTGGACTATATGGTAGTTTGATTTCAAATTATTTTGAACAAATGATTTGGAAATAATAAAAAGACAAACAAATGATTATATTTGAATTGGTGTGTCTTTTACTTGAAAATGCTTACCTTCTAAATTTTCTTTAGTTGTACAAAGGTGTTGTCATTTAACAAAGCAGTTTATGAAATACAATGAATCGATCAATGTCATTACTTTCAACATTTTCACCAACCCCTCCTGACTTACCCTTTACCTTATATTTCTTAATTTTAACCGCCTATCTCTTCTTCATTTATCTATCCTCTCAATTTCCCCCAACCTCCCCCTACTTTTGAAAGTACCCACTTCCTGGTGTTTGTTTTGTTGGGGCTTTGATTCATTCTTTCCAAGGAATTGAACTATTTGATTTCTCCATTGAATCTACCATATTTCAGTTAATACATCTGTAACCACTTGTATACCACACTATGTGTTTACTTATATGTTTCTAGCTACCACATATAAGGGGGATCATCCAACTTTTGTCTCTTTGGGTCTGACTTACTTCACTAAATGTGATTCTTTCCCAAGTCTCTCCATCTCTCTTTTCTTAAAACCCCACTTCCTTCCATTTATTTTATTTTATTTTTAATTTTTTCTTCTTTAATAAGTTTTTTATTGTAAAAATACTGTACAGAGGGGATACAGTTACATGAGCAAGGTAATGAGTACAATTCCTATCAAGCTTTGTTGCCTCCTCCTTTGTTTTTCCCCTACCATTCCCCGCTCTCCTGCCACCACTTGTACATCTCATTGTTACAATGGCTCAACCTGTATCCCTATTTAAGTATTTTGTTTTTTCCCTTATCCTCCCCAAATTAGAGAAATGTATATACAAGATGCAGGGCAATGACATCAAATACAGTGAAAACAGGGATTATACTGTGGGGAAGGAACATACAAAGCAAAATATCACATGGTACATTATAAACATGTTAGAAACAACAACATGCAAGAAAAAACCACTTGTGTCCCTATCTTAGGGTTGATTTTGTTGTACTGATTCGGGACCCTCGAAAGACCACCAGAGACCACACCAATGAAAACAGCAAAAGAGTCGTTCATTTGCAAGGTCGAGCTTGGTTCTCCTGGCACTCGGTAACCAGTGACACTAAGAGGCCTGAGCACAAAATCGGCACAGCTTTTATAGCATTTAACATACAAGTTTAGGGGATTTCCACACAAGCAGTTACATGATTGGTTAACATTTTTTTTATTGTGAAAATACTGTACAGAGGGGTTACAATTACATGGGCAAGATAATGAGTACATTTCTTATCAAGCATTGTAGCCTCCTCCTTTGTTTCCCCTTCCCATTCCTTCCCATCTCCCTCAGCCCCCTCAACTCCCACCCCCTTAGACCCCACCTCCCCCAAAGTTGTAAAGTTCATTTTTCGACATAACCATTTGAACATCTCATTGTTGCAATGGGTCCACCCGTATCCCTAATTAAACGATTTGTTTTTTCTCTTCCTCTCCATAAATTATACCAACGTCAAATATAGTGAAAACAGGGGTTATACCGTGGGAGAGGAACATACAAAGCAACAAAGAAATCATGTTATAAATATGTTAGGAGCAATAGCAAGAAAGAAAAAAACATTTGAGTCTTTATCTTGGGGTTCATTTCGCTTAACATCAACTCATCTGACCATTTCTGCTTGTCTCAGACAAATACTAGTTATTGTAAATAAGGGGGACCTAAGATTGCATAGTCATTTTTTTATTGGCCCATGTACCGAGGTTTGAGTCTACCCTAACCGCACCGCCCTTTCTCTGAACTATTGGTCCACATTTGACAGTTCGATGGTTGCAAAACCAATTGCTCTGTTTCTTAAGGGTGGGCAGGGTTGATGGCAACCGAGAATAGCTTTTTTCTCTCTTGGTGTTACTCTGAGGGCAGTCAGCACAAGATGGTGGGGTTAATCTCCAAATGGAGTTACTTTAGCTCTTCAGTTTCACCAAACATCATCTCATCTGGGCATGTGTGTGTGTGTGTGTGTGTGTGTGTCTGTGTGTGTGCTAATCTAGAGCTTGAACTCATGGCAGGCACTGTCTCTGAACTTCTTTAACTCAAGGCTAGCGTTCTACCACTTGAGCCACAGCTCTACTTCTGGCCTTACCCCTGCCCTCGCACTTTGGTAGTTTAGCAGAGATAAAGAGTCTCATAGACTTTCCTATCTGAGCTGGCTCTGAACTGAGATCCTCAGATCTTAGCCTTCTGACTAGCTGGGATCACAGGCATAGTGCCATTTGTGCCAGGCCTATGTTGTTTTCTGAGAAACCTCCATAGTGCATTCCAGAGTGGTTGAACAAGCTTACATTGCACTCCATGATGTATTCAGATTCCTTCCCTTTTGTCACATTCTGCATCAGTTGTTGCTTGTTTTCTAGATAATGACTATTCAAAGTGAGATGAGGTGAAATCTCGTGTTGTTTTCTTTTGCATTTTCTTTATGGCCAGAGATATTGAGCATTTCTTCATGTGTATATTATCCATTTTTACTTTTTTTGAAAAGTCTCTCTTTAAATTAGTAGACATTTATTATTTGGGCCGTTGGTTCTTAATTTATTATATTTCTATATATTTGAGATATTAGACTCCTATCTGATATGTAGTTGACAAAAATCACTCATTGTATTGACTTTCTTTTTAGCTCATTGGCTATGCTGATTGGCATGCAGAAACTGTTAAGCTTGATACAATCTCATTTATCTTTCTTTGATTTGCAATACTTCTGAATTTTTACTCAAAAAATTTCTACCTGTGCCCAGAGGCCCTAATTTTTCCTCTATACCTCCTGCAATAGCTTCGTGGATTCTGGTCTTTCAATAAGGTTTCTTCTTTAGATATAATTTAGTTTTAATAATTTGTATTGGAAGTTTAATATTTATTTATTCTTTATGTATCCTGTTTATTCAAACATAATTTACTTTATCTTTATTTCTATCCAGACTTAATAGTTGTGCATTTTTATAGACTACATAATGGCAAATTCATACATGCAATGTGTAATATTTAAGTCAGGATAGCAATTACTGTAAACTTTTTGAATATTGATATTTTATTGCTGAATATTTATTGCTCTTCAATTGAAATAGATCAGGGATTATTATGGAAAAACTGTGTTTTCCTGAATTTTACTGTCATTCTGTCTTCCATTTTCCATTATCTTTTTCAAAGGAGTTCACTTCTGAATTTTCACAAATGATGACAAAAATGGTATTTGTCTTCTGTCCATGCTACTATAACAACAGCAGTAAATATTCTCTGTGGCTAAATCATCTACCAATTTGTGTCTCTGTGTTTGCATTTCTTTAAAAATAGTGGTTACTATAGATTATATTTAGTTTCCACATGTTGAAGAAAATTATAAGATAGTTATAAACTTTATGTATATCATCTACTCAACCATTTCTCTATCATTTATCAACCTACCTATCTTTCCATTTTCCTCTCCAGTGGTGTTATATTCACAAAACATATATTAACCATATATAATAACAAACCACATACTTCTTGATTCTTTATGCTACTTCCATATCCAACTCAATAAGAATGGAGACTTAAGAACATATTCAAAATTTCAGCAAAGAACTACTTGGTAATGTTAAAAATAAAATAAGCATTTCCAAAATGCATATTGAAATTATGTAAAAATTCTTTCTGTCTTACATACAGAGATACACAGAAATAGGAAAACTGCCTATGATAAAATAAATTTAATTTTATATCCAAACATTTATGAATATTTTTCTTGTGTTAATAATTGAGCTATTGGTTCTAGTTTAATTTGTAAAATTGTGTTCACAAAAATCATATATCTGTCAATGCACACAAAAATGATTAAGATAGCATAACACATAATAGGTGTGAATCACCAATATACTATATTTTCTTTCCCAATATTCCAGAGGTATAATGTTTCAACACCAAGCTTAGGTATACCAATAACCTTTTAGTGTATTTTATTCCAGTTTGATTAAGGATCAGCACAATAATTCCAGATAACCCTGAGGAAAGCACTCATCAGTTTAGAATAACCCTATGCGTGCACAAATGTTACCTGAAGGAGTGCCTTTAGTCTTGAAGAAACAGAAGAATATTCTGTTTAGACAAAAGTTTTCTTCTGATCAGTTTTTCCAACCCTGCCTTCATAGCTCTGTTTCTTAGGCTGTATATGACTGGGTTAAGGGAAGGGGGTAACACAATATAGCAAGCAGATAGAATGAGGTCAGTAGATGATGAAGACCCTAAGGTAGGTTTCAGGTAAGCAATAAAACCAGTTGAGAGAAATAGAGCTACAACTGTTAGGTGAGGGAGGCAAGTGGAATAGGCTTTAGCCTGGCCTTCTGCAGATGGAATCTTCCTGACCGTGGAGAAGATATAGATATAGGAGATTATGATACAGAAAAAGTAGCAAAAATCAAGTACCACATTAATGAGAATAAGAACAATTTCTACAATGATATGCTTTGAACAAGAAATAGCTAGCAACTGGGGAATATCACAGAAAAACTGGTGGATTTCATGCTGTCCACAGTAAGACAAAGAAAAGGTACTCATTGTGTGTATAGCCGATATCACGACACTGTTGAGCCAGGAAAAAGTGGCCATCTGCATACATGTGCTTCTGTTCATGATGACTTCATAGTGCAGAGGATGACAAATGGCAGCATAGCGATCAATGGACATGACTGTAAGGAGGCAAAGCCCCGTGTCTGCTGAAAATAGGACCAGAAAGACCTGAGCCACACAGCCAAGGAAAGAGATGGAGTTTTGGTGGGTGATGGAGTTAGCGATAGTTTTTGGCACCACAGCTGAAATGAGGGATAGATCAAAGATGGACAGGATCCTTAAGAAAAAGTACATGGGTGCGTGGAGACAGGGGTCCAAGGAAGTGACAGTGATGACTAGAACATTCCCCAAGACAGCTGCCACGTAAATCACTGTGAAAATCCCAGCATACAGGAGTTGAAACAGCCATGGGCCAGAGAAACCCAAGAGAAGAAACTCTGTGTCCACTGAACCATTGATGATTCTTGATGAAACATTCTGCATTAAAACAAGAAAGTTTGCATATGATACTCAAGGATGCCATCTGCTTCCATTCAAAGTTCAGAAGAACTAGTTAATTTGTGTTTCTATGCATGACCGCACTTAGCAGGTGTAAATAACAGCTGTGGGGGTAAATGTTCCTCAGTTGAACAAACAGCAGTGTTCTGGGCATATGCCTAGTCTCACCATGTTTTCTTTTTTTTTTTAATTTCATTTTGTTTTTGAGAAGTTCACCTGTCACCACAGTATTCAGTTCTATCCAGAAGCTCTTTCCAGGATTACAGAACAGAGCATCTGGTCCCTTGTGAAGAAGGATATTATTGTGAATGTATATAAAGGGCAGAAAAGACGGTATATGTGAAATATCCAATATTCCCATGCCATGATCTGTTATATGTCTTTGAAAATTTTGGTGTTTAGATATTGGTTTTTCATCGAAGCCTTTTTTTGTGTTCAAAATGCACTGCGTCCATGTATAGACATATTATAGTGGAACTTCTACTTATTATACATAGATGCTAACTAAATAAAACAACACAACCTTTATCATTCTCTTCCTGTTTTAATAATTTCTAAATGTTTAGTTTCTGATGGTGGCATGCGCCTTATCCTGGAACAAAGGAAGCCACAGGTAGGACAATCATGGCCTAGCTGGCCCCAAGGGGCTGTGTTAGAACCTACATGAAGAGCAATTAGAGCAAAAAGAGCTGTGGGTGTGGCTCACTGGTAGAACATGTTCCTATAAACATGAGTTCCTGAGATCAAACTCCAGCCATGCCAAGAAAGAAAAAAAAAATCTATGATCAGAAAAATTGAATCTCGATATCTTTTTCCTTTATTATAATCTGTTTCCAATGCTCTGATAACTGCTTATGTACAGTATAAGACTAGTTCAAAATTAAATTCTTATTAGTATATCCATGTATTAGAGATTTAAAATTTTACATGTAAAACTAGTGAAAATATGTTGGTGTGTTAAAATCTATTTGTGATTAGAACACTTACATATCTTCACTTGGGCCAATTTTTATGTCTGAAAATATAACCAGCAATTTTAACATATTACAATTAACACTTACTAAATTATCTTCCTTGCAGGGAACACAGGACATCAGCTTTTTGGTGAAATGGCTGGAGGAATGATGACCCATCAGTAACCCAGATATCTCAAGTTAACTCTGACTTCTTCACTTTGTGAAACTCTCTCACTAATAGCATTGCATTTCCTGCTGTTCTGAGTTTAGCAAACAGCTGCTTGTAAGAGCAAAAGGTGAGCTGGAAAGCCTCTTATCTCCATTGCCCATCTCCCTAAGGCTGTGTGTTGAAATTCCAAAGGGAAATTCTGCTACTGCTGTAGAGATATTATTAATCCATTCCTCTCAATGAACAGACACAAATTGGCACCATTTTCATATAGAAATATTGCATCATAAAGCATGTTCTCTTGCAATGAGTAGCTTCAAATATTGTAATACAACTGAGCGTCTTTATTTTTACTGAGAAGTCAATGAGGAGACATATTTCTCATCATTCATTGAGCCCTTATACAGAAGAGTTAATGTGTCAGAATTTTCCCAAGCCCTGTTTATCTTTTACTATTTTCTTACAAAGTCATACTTTTATTATATCTGATACATATATGTGTATCATATTTGATGTATATAAAGGCACATATAAAATAGGTAGAATTATATATGATATACATGTGATATATATGTATCATTTTTTTTTTTTGTCGGTCGTGGGGCTTGAACTCTGGGCCTGGGTGCTGTCCCTCAGCTCTTCAGCTCAAGGCGAGCGCTCTACCACTTGAGCTACAGCGCCACTTCCGGTTTTCTGGTGGTTTTATTGGAGATAGGAGTCTCACGGTCTTTCCTGCCCAGGCTGGCTTTGAACCACGATCCTCAGATCTCAGCCTCCTGAGTAGCTAGGATTATAGGCGTGAGCCACCAGCGCCCGGCTATATGTATCATTTATCAGGTCTATAAAAGTATATATAATATACATATATGATACTTATATAACATATATGCATTATATAGCATGCATATAAACTATATATATTTGATTATGCATGATTCTGATATATATCATATATCATTTACATAAATGTATATATAAATATGTCTAATTATATTTACATATCTATATACAAATATATTTATATTCTATATTTGTTATGTTATACAAAATATATTTAATATTATATTTAATATGTATTTTACACACTCATATATATATATATATATATATACATCCCATTCTTGGGCTTGAACTAAGAGCCTAGTCTATGTCCTTGAGCCTCAGCTACAATTCTCTACCATTTGAGCCACAGCTGTACTTCTAGCTTTTTGGGGGGAAATATTGGAGTTAAAAATCCTGTGGATTTCTTACCTGGGATAATCTTGAACCATGATCCTCAGACCTCAGCCTCCTGAAAAAGTAGGATTATACGCATAAACCACCGGCACCCCATCTCAAATAGATATATTTTTAAAATTAATTTTACATACATAATTATTTTTAAAAATTGTGTATAATTTTTGATAATTTTAGACTGGGGAATACTTAGTATCATAAGGGTCAAAAGCAAAAACTAGTATCATATATAACATTGTATTTATGGAATAGTAATTGACCCAACTAAGCTATAATTTGCTTATTCTTTTAGTTTGATAATTCATTTTATAATATAGTTTGAATTTTGTGTTGGAAAACAGCATGCTTCTGAGATTGGCTACTGTCAGACACACATCAATTTCAGCGTCCAAAATAATCCTGAAACCATATTATAAAGAATATTATGGAATAAAAGGACAAAAGTTTAAAGAGATCAATATTTGAACATTTTCCTATCATGTAGGAGGAACTCCAAGTTCCAATCTCTAGCATCAATATAAATTATGACAGCAGATATCTCAAAAAATCTACATCTATCTTTGAATACATCTGAAATTATATTACCCAACAAAATGCATGGATTATGTGTTATTATATATTCTCATTATACAATCATAAAAATATCTAACATAAATAATGACAATTCTGGGAGATAATGCTTGCTATACTTTTCTTATTTTGAATATACCAAATCTGCTGTGAAGTCCTTTCTGTAGGTGGTAACCCTAGCTCCCTTTTAATCTGGCTATAAAATCAAAGTATGAGGAGAAATATAGAAGATCTCTGGAAAGAGGCTATAGTGTGGAAATGGGTCTTTTTTTTTGTCAGTCCTGGAGCTTGAAATCTGTGCTCTTCAGCTCAAGGTGAACGCTCTACCTTTTGAGCCACAGCACCACTTCCAGTTTTCTAGTGGTTTATTGGAGATAGGAGTCTCTCAGACTTTCCTGCCTGGGCTGGCTTTGAATCGTGATCCTCAGATCTCAGCCTCCTGAATAGCTAAGATTACAGGCATAAGCCACCAGCCTCAGGCTGAAAATGAGTCTTTGAAAACAGATGTTTTAGCTTTTTCAAACTTTCTATCAGCTCAATATACCATTTCTCATTGTGAGACTGACATTAATCCGAATCTTAATATCCATTCTATTAAGATGAATGAAGTAATATGTATTCCCACAGGTTACTTAGAGCCACACAAATAGTGTAAACTCACATTGGACACTGAATACATATAGCAAAATCTCAATCACCTCAATCATTTGTTTCAATAAGGAAAAAAAACAAAAATATTCATCAAAGCATGGTTATAATTGTTAAATACTGGAGGCTATTTCAAAATCAAAGCAAATGGAATTGAATCTATGAGCTGATGTATCAAAGTGGAAAACTGTATGTTTGTGTGTATACATATATGTATATAGATAGATAGAGAGAGAGAATATGAGATAGATCCCTATATGCTTTCAGAAAATAATGCCAAGTGAAGAAAGCCAAGTAATGCAAGCACAAACATAATATAATGACTTTCTTATATATATATTATTGTAAAAATACTGTACAAAGGGTTATATTTATATGAGTAAGGTAATGAGTACATTTCTTATCAAGCATTATTACCTCCAATTTTGTTTTTCCCCTACCATCTCTGCCTCTTCCCTCCCACCTCTCCAACTCTTGACTCCCTTCCGCCCCTCACAAGTTGTAAAGTTAATTTTCAACATAGTGCCTTGTACATCTCATTGTTATAATGGGTCATCCTGTATCCTTGTTTCAACATTTTGTTATTTCCCTTCCCTTCCCCAAATTAGAAAAAAATATATACAAGATTCAGGGCACTGGAATCAAATACAGTGAAAACAGGGATTATACCATGGGGGAAGAACATACAAAAAAAACAAAAAACAAAAAATCACATGGTAAATTATAAATACATTAAAAACAATAGCAATAAAGAAAAAAAATACTCGTGTCCCTATCTTGAGGTTCATTTCGCTTAGTATCATTTTATATGGTCAAATGTATATAGCTTTTGACCTTTTCTGCTTGTCCTAGACATATAGTAGTTATTGCAAATAAGAGAAACAAAGAGGTTAACACTTCCTGCCTGGAAATTTCCCATGCTAAACCAAAATAGACAGAACTCTTCTAGTGTAGTAAGGGCAAAAGAATGGGCCTGACTGTGCGGTAAAGGAGAGGCCTTCCTTCCAAAAAAGTTCTGCATTTCTTACCATGGCCTTGCTCAATTGCACCTTTGAGCATCCTTTCCTAGCCTCCTGCTCCAGGAAAATGTGTACCAGAATGATGGATGATTAGAACCAACAGTGTCTGAATGGGAATTCAGTCAAAGGGATCAGTTCATGAAGAGTATGATCAGACTTAATGAAGCCTCTGATTGGTTCAGCAGGCTATATGCCCTCCAGATTGTCCAACAATCTTGAATATTATGTCATTTTTACTAGAGATTGACTCCAGTGCAATTCCCGACAGGCAAGTAACTCTCCTTTGTGACCACCCCCATGTAATGGGATCTCTGCTCATCAATTTCTCTGAGATGTTCCTTCATACAAATCTGTCTGGGCTATTTTCAGAAACTTTTCTGTCACCTA